GTTTATTTTTTAAAATTTATCATTCTATTTTAATCTAAAACTTATTCTTAACAAATTTTATTTTGTATTTTTTTAATATTAATTAAATTAGATTTTTTTTAATTATTAAAAATATAAAAAACTGAAATTTATAAATTAATTTAAAATTTTATATTTTATTTATTATAATATTTTATAAAATAATAAACATATATATTTTTATATAAATATTTTTTTTTTTTATTAAATTATTAAAATAAACAAAAACATTATAATGATTTAAAAGTTTATTATAGAAATAAAAAAATTATAAATATTAATTATTATCTATAAGCATAAGAAGATTTTAAAAATTTATATATTTTATTTTAATAATAAAAACTAATATATCTTTTAAAATATATAAATATCTTTATGTATATATATATTTTTTTTAGATTATTATTAATTTTTTTTTATTATTTATAATAATAAAAACAAATTTAAAAATTGATAATTTCATAATAAATTATAATTTAATCTTTATAATTTTTTTACAATTATTATTCATTTTTATAAAAAATTAAAATAAAATAAAATAAAAATAAAATTAAAATTAAATAATAATTAAAAATTAGAAATTAAATTCTTAACATAAAAAAAAAAAATTATATAAATATTAATCAATCGTCTTTTTTATATATTAAAAATAATAATAAAAAAACAGTAATATTTCTCAAAAAGGATTTCTTAAACTGCAATCGCCTCCAAAGTATCCTTTATTACAAAAACACTTATTATTTAAACAATATCCGTTATAACTACAGAATTTTGGACAAATTTTTTTAAATTTGCAAAACTACACTATAATTTTAGGACATACAATACTTCCATTATATCCCTTAACTTGCATATATTGAAAATTTTTTGTGCAAACAATTTTTTATTTTCCTACATGAATAGTCACTTATTATCCGTTAGAACTACAATTATATTTATAGCATAAACCTTAAATTTTTGGATTATTCACATTATAAGTATTTTTTACTAAAGAAGAGTCAAAACATTTCGAATCAACTCCATATTAAATTCCGTACACTTCTATTAGTTATTTTGATTGTTACATATTTTTAATATTCCAGCATTCCTTTTATAAAGAAACTTAATATGTATGACAACGTGATTCATTAAATTAACCAATAATACAATTTGAAGATCCAATATGGTGGAAATCACATTAACCTTATTCAGTTTAAGGAATACAATATTCATCTTTATAAGAATTACAATAACTATCAGTGAAGTGTTGACAGCCTACTCCTTTAGCATAGAATATTTCTTCTACCATAGATTCTTTTATTTACTCATAGAAGCCTGTGTCTCTTAAAAGATTGACTGTAAAACCACTAAAATATGACTATAAAGGTTATTAATATGCATTCATATATTCACTATTGATTATTGTGTTTTTCCAATGAGAATTTACAAAATTTTCACCTATATTTTCAAGAGGCATACCATCTAAGGAAGGACAACCAAAATATTTTCGAGCAAAATATAAAACATAAGGAGTTTTGAGAAATAAAGTATCAATTCCCCTTAATTTTTTTTTTATAGTAGGTTCTTTATAAAGACTTTTATCAGATTATATCCATAAAGGTATAGAGTGTTGTGAAAAACCCAAAAGATGAGTCGTTTCATGGATAACTAATTCTAATATATCTTAAAAGATATATTTTTAACTTAAATCTTTTTTTTCTAATTAATCCAAATTAAAAGTAATTTAACCATGAGAAGGTCCTACCTTATACACAAATTAACAATTAGCAGCAAAGGCTAAAAAAGGTTATTTTGAATCATAATTATATTATACATATATATGTAAATCAGAATCTTTTCCCTTGTCTCTGTCTATTTAAGGAATTGTAACTTCTCCACATTTTTTAATATTGGAATTAAATCTCATTTGTTTTTCAGATTTTGGAACTATTTTATAAGATCAGAAAAATATTTAAATGCTGTTTTTAAAGCTTTCTCACAAGTTTCAATTATCAATTTATTTTTAGGATTTTTAGGTAAGTTTGAGAAATAGGACATATCGTAAGTTATAATCATATTACGGGACATTTTAGATTGTAAATTACGGATATCTGTATAATCATCATCAGGGAAGATTACATTGTAGGGATAGTTTTTTTACATTTAATCATGGACACATTAGTGTTAGAGTACATGTAAACCAAAAATACAAGTTAATTAAAATATATATATTATTAATATTTTCATTTATTATTAATAATGTTTTTTTAATATTAATATGTATTAATTATAAAAAAATTTTAAGATATTTATAATTAAGGATAAATTTATTTATATTTTATTTAAAAAAAATTATTTAAATATTTACCACAAGTTTTTTTTAAAAAAAAATTAAATTATATTATTATTTTATTAAAATTAAAATTAAAATTAAAAGTAAATATATATGAATAAGTATCTATTTAAATTAATAATAATTATTGATTATAGAAATTATAAATAAAAAAAGTATAAATAATATAAAATTTATTTTTTTGTATTAAATATAAATAAATTTAAAATTTATATTATTATTTTTTTAAAAAATTTTATATTTTTAATAATAAATAATATAGCAATTTGTATAAATAGAATATGTTATTATAATTTTTAAAATATTTAGTAAATAATAATATAAAAATTTCTAAAAATATATCTATTTATATCTAAATTTATAAAATAATATATTATTAAATAAATTTTATATTATTATTATAATAAAAAAGAAAAATATATTATAATAATTTACGTATTATTTAATATTTATAATATTTATAATATTTTTTTATAAATAAAAATTTTAATATATTAATTCAATAATATATAAATTTATACATGTATTAATATTAAAAAAAAAAAAAATATACTTAATTATAATTATAAATTATAAAAGAAAAAATAATATATATATATATATAAAATATTATTTCAATATATTATATTATTTTTTATTTTAAAATAATATAATATTATATATTAATTAAATTTATTTTTTATATAAAAATTATAAATATATATTTAATACAATATAAAAAAATTATTTTTATTTTAATATATTAAAAAATTAAGTGTAAAAAATACATATTAATAATATATATTTTATAAATATTATAGAAGATACAAAATATTAATATATTATTATAAATATATATTTAATATAATATAATATATATAAAAAATGAAATACTTTTTTTTTATTTATTTTGAAAAGATTATTATTCCTATAATAATAAATTAATTATTTTATTTTAATCAAATTTAAAAACATTATTTAATCTTTATAAAAATTTTTTTAGATTAACTGCAATATATTCCAATTTATTTTTTAGTTCTATGAAAATCATTATTTATTTAATCTTAATATCTATATAAAAACTATGATAAAATTTTTTAAATTCAATAAATCAGGCATTAGTTTATGGCATATTATATATTCTTAATATTCCTTTACTTTTAAATTTCTTATATTTTTGAATAAGAAAAATTATTTTTTTTACTTAAATAGTTACTATTATCCATTATATTATATTCATATTTATAACATCTCTGATACTGATACTGATACTGATGT